CGTTTCGCTTTGAGAAAAGCATCTTACTGAAGTCGCAAACAACTCTTTACGGCTATTTTGTGGGAACAAGAAAAAAGCTTCTTCTAAGGAGTACACACCTATCATATATATCATATGTGTTACGTGGGTGGTGTCCTCCTTCATTAAAAAACCAGGCTGTGAACGTTTTTTTCCAGGCTTTGCGATTTTTGTCCTCCTAATTCCCATGCCGGTACAGACATGGCATCAATTTTCCCCAGATGACTACTTTTTTGTCTTTTTGTAGGCTCTTGAATGATTTGCTTTAAATCCTGTCTATTCATATAATACGACTGCCTACTACTGAGTCTGGATTTTTTTCCCGTGGCCACACGGCGTTATGTAGTCTGAGTGATAATCACTCCTAAAACGGCATTAAGCTGGGTTGTAATATATTATGCTGCAACCTAATCTCCAGTAATTTCAGTCACAAAAAAGGCCAACATTTTGAAGACGACCTTTCCGAACACAAGATGCAAACGCCGTTAATAAATGACTATTTGAGTAGTATGCATTTAACTCATTGATGCTGACTGCCTTGAGAAATTCAAATATATTTTCTTTGAAAACATTCAAAAACTTAGTTTTGCATGTACTGCTTTGCTAGAAAATTATGTCTTCTTCAAATTTATACTTAAGGCAGGGGTATATTTCGGTTTAAAAAATCTCGCCGATACAATGTTTACGACTGTAAAGTGTTCATTGATTTTACATCGTAACCGTCAATTCATTAATGTTGCTTGTAATGTATGCAGCATGCTCAAAATATATTTAAAAATGAGAAACTTGTGACCTCTTCTTCACATGTTAACGAAAGGCGCACTTTTCTTTATATAGGATGTACATAACATGCCATTTGGACAGCTTGAATTAAGGTGTAATGGTCACCAGGTTTCAAAGCTATTTGGAAAATTAGAAACTTCTTTTAAATCAATATATATCTAATTTAAGTGTAAATTTTAAGTTAATTTAATTTAATTTGGTACCAAACGACTACAAGAAAGAATATTTTTGTGAATAAATTCTTAGAAACGTTTTTTGAAAATACATGAGATTAGCAAAAATCAATAAGGTAAATGCATACTGCTAATGAAGTAATTTTTTTCAAAAAATAATTATTTCAAGTTGTCAGGAGGAGGCTCTTAGAAAAGTCAGCATACTTTTGTGACCGAAAAGACTGGAGATTAGTTAATCAGTATTACAATCGTACTTTATACGAGTTTGCAAGCGATTGTCAATTTTTCGCAAATTTCTAAATATTGCATGAAATACCGGCCGCACTGCACGGGCCACGAACGCAACCATGTAGGGGACATGTTATAAAGAATAAGGCCCTGATTATTAAGGTTTGCCTAAAAAATTTGACG